TAATCTGTGTTCTAACAGCTGCAGTACCAGCAGTGCCAACGGAGCAAGCACAACAACATATTTATGCGATTTCTGCTTCGCCAGCTAAATATGTCGGGTTTCCATGGCAACACAATGAGTACAGTGTGCGGTACTGTAACTGCACGGCTTCATTCAGCGATATTAGTAACAGCTTTACGGACAAAACACATTCCCTCAGCTGAGAATCTGTACCGCTCGGTAAGAATCGTCAGGAAAAGATTTGATTTAAGGGAGACGCTTCTTCCAGTACGTTTAAATCCGAACTCTGCATATGTTACCATGGTGATCTAGCTGGGTTAAAATTTAGGCTTTAGGCTCAACGTACCTCGCTAACCCACTAGTCCTGCTTTGTAGTACAGCCATCTGGTTTTAGGTTGTTTTCACAGGTCCATCACTGTCTCCAAGGTTCTGCCGTTAAACTCCTCTCACAAAGGCCTCAGCATGACCTCTCTCCTGTAGGAGAATCGGGTGAGTTTGATCCGGCTGTGCCTCCTCTCTCGGTGTTGCAGCAGGCGGTAAAGAGACAGTGTGAACTTGGCCAGCGCCAGCGTGCAGACGATCTCCACCAGCAGCACCGACGTGTAGATCAGCATCCGAGACCTGCACCGCTGGAATTTGTTTCGATGCGCGGAGGAAGTCGGCATCGCCTGAGCGGACGGGGGAACCGGACAGGTGAAGACCGCTGGGGTGGTCGGTGGAGGTGTTGTTGTTTTGGTGGTTGTTGGTCGGGTAGTTGCGAGTGTGGTGGTTGTGGGCAAAGTTGTTGTTGTAGGTAAAGTGGTTGTAGGTGTTGTCGTCGTAGGTGGAAGTGTTGTCATCGTGGTTGTGGGTGTGGTGGTGGTGGTGGTGGTGGGTAGAACTGTTGTCATCGCAGTTGTGGTGGCAGTTGTTGTTGTTATGGTCGTGGGTGGAATTGTCGTCAAAGCGGTCGTGGTGGCCACAGCTGTAGTCAAAGTGGTTGTTGTGGCCAAAACTGTAGTCGGAGTAGTTGTGGTGGCCATAGCTGTGGTCATAGTGGTCGTAGGTGTGGTTGTTGGTAGGGTTGTGGCTAAAAGTGTAGTGGAGACAGTTGTGGTTGTAGTTGGAGGCAAAGTGGTTGTTGGTGTTGTGGTTGTTGGTGTTGTGGTTGTGGGGATGGTGGTGGTTGGTTGTGTGGTTGGGAGTGTCGTTGTGGTTGGAAAAGTAGTTGTGGGTGTTGTGGTTGTAGGTGTTGTGGTTGTGGGGATGGTGGTGGTTGGTTGTGTGGTTGGGNATCCACATTTATTATAATGAAATATAATTATTTAACATCGTTTGCTGTCATGGCTTCAACTCTGTCTTCTCTCAGATTCAGCTCAAACGACCAAACGTGAACAAGAAATCTGACTCAAAGTCTTCGTTCTACTTGGATCTGGACAGATACTGGTTGTACACTTGACTGGTTGGTTAAAGCGTTTAACAACAATGCAATTAATTCTAGTTATTTAAACAACAGCCTGCTGAAATAACAATAAGAAAATGGATTAATAAAATACATGTCTCATTGCTTATAGTGCGACTGCTTCACCAGCAACATGGTGAAAAGGAAAGACGTGACCTTAATTAAATGACTGCAGCTCAAATTCCAGATGTCAGAGCTGAAAAAACGACTCAGAAACAGCAGATGAATGAAAAGAAATGAATTTTAATCTGATTTCTTTGAGTAGTCTTTGCATGTAAACATATTTTAAGTACAGTAAATGCAGCCTGTTTCATATGTGGTGTGATAGATGATGAATTTTAATCTGTAATATAAATTATTTTAATATTTGTAGCTGCTGCATAATGGATGTTTTAGTGTGACAGGCTCATGTGATTCATTTCTTGATGTTTATAGTTAGAATAACGAGGACGTTGATGAAGGTTTATATCATTGTTTTGGCTCCTTAACCTGCTGACTTTGAGTTTCAAGACTGTCTAGTTTGTGCACATGAACCCCTTTAAGTTTCTTATTTTTATAATTAAAAGTACAAAAGTTGTGCGTGTTTCACTGAATGTAAATGTGAACTGAAGCTGACCTCGTCGTTATTCCGTTATCTCATCAGAATAAAAAAAAAATATAAAAAAATGCAATTACAGAGACGGACGGATAGCAGGCAAAGTTTGAGATAAATAGTTTGCGGCACACACATGCAGAAAGTCACACGCGTGTTCACACAGTCTGGGTTAATGACTCTGACCCGCTGCTCTGTTCCTGTGCTGCCGTCTGATACCAAACCTAATTAACGCATTTAACCTTTAGCTGCCGGTCAGACGGCGCATCAAACACAAATCCCAGCCCGACTCCTGCTCAGTGTTTCCATTCTGTCACGTTATGAATTTATGGACTTCACTGGTTTGGCAGAAAGAATCTGTTTTGACCTTGTAGGAAAAAGTGCAATCGTTTCTGTTTTTATTAAGCAGATTTTAACACAGAAGAACATTAATGAAGTGAAGCATGAATGAAGTGTGAAACAAGCTGCTCCAGTGTCTTCTGTGTTTACGATTTGATTTTATTAAAGTTTTTCTGAGCTCTTGTTTTTCTGTGAATGAGGCAGAGGAGAATGTGTTGTGGATCTCTGGCGCCCCCTGCTGCAAGGATGCGCTGAGTTAATGTTCAGTCATGACTCGGCAAACCAGGATTTTATTTTTTATTTTTTTAATCACTGGGCATCAGATTATGCTCAATAACATGCTCACATGGACAAATCACTCAGTCATGCAGGTCGTTCTTAAAAGCTTCACTAAACACCAACAGGACTTCTGTTTATTTTTTAATGTTCAGTTCTCCAGAACTAAAGAAGCCTTTTTGGACGTGAAACATCTTCAAGATAAACACAAAGACAAGTCCAGTTCACTTTTACTGAACCTCTCAGGTTTACAATCAGACGTTTTACAGCAAAAAAAAGAGGAAAAATCCACGAGACATTTCTGCAGAGCATCAAGAATCTAATGCATGTTGTCAGCAAGATGATTTTTCCAGAACTTTCATATTAACTATCGACCACATCGTTACTTGCATGCAACTGACCTCAAACTGCCCAAAAAAATCAGTTACTGAGTTCTGAATGGAGGCAAAGTTATTGTAGTCGTCGTGGTTGTAGTTATCATCGGGGTAGTATGACTTTTGTGGAACAGCTTTTATTTGAAGCTGAACTTTTCATCTTTCTTTGTCAAACTCTGCACGCTAACATTAAAGGAGGCGTTTAAAGCAACTCTTCTTCTCTGTAAAATGAAATGATCGTGTTCAGCTGCTTCAGTCAACACCTTGTTTTAATTGAGAACAATCAGGAATATCAATAATAACTAGAAAAGCCCTCAGACAGCACAGACCTCCACCAAGCAGCTCATTTCCACCAAAACATAGCTTTAGCATATCATTAATGACAAAGTGACAGAGTGATAAACGGTCGTTCTGTACACTTACATTATTTCTGCAGTTACTTACTGTTAAGCTGTTAGCTAACGCTATGCAAGGTTGGCATAACTACAGTGATGTCATTGTTAACAGGGAGTAGCTTCAGCTAGGTTAGCACAACTTTAGCAATGCAACGTAAATCAAAAGCGCGACCGACACAACGAAGCACGCATCACTTGTCTGGCTCTAGCTTCCTCCTGTAAGAAGACAGCAGTGAGGACTGAAGGACTGAATGGAGTCAGAGCTCCATCTAGTGGACAAATGGCACAACAGCATTCTGCACGACCGTGACACTTGACACTTAACACTTAGCAAACAGACGGTAAGCAGGAACATCACCAAAATTTAATCATCTGTTCATTGTGCCATTATCAACATTTCCTGAAAATTTCATGAAAATCCGTTCATAACTTTTTGAGTAATCCTGCTAACAAACAAACCAACCAACCAACAAACAGATGAACGCCGGCTGAAACCTAACCTCCTTGGGGGAGGTAATTATGACGGTAAAAGCATCACGACTGCAAATGAGAACAGAAATGCTGCTAGAAAAGTGTTAAACGTGCGCATTTAGGTCCAGTAATGCACACAAATTTAACACAAATATAAGTGAAATGAATGTTCCTGACTGAATATTCTGTGTAATAAAGACCAGCAGAATAATCCATTTTTAATCTGTGTTCTAACAGCTGCAGTACCAGCAGTGCCA